ACTTTTCATTTTAGACTCACTTTTCACTGTAATCTTTCTGGTTTAGGGTTGATTGATATCTCATTTATGATTAATAGCTTGTATTTATCTAGTGTTTATTTATTAACATATACATTTGCAAACTATTTATTATGCATTTGTGCTGTACAATTTTATCACCATTTCTGTGACACTTGTGATCCTCCATACGTGAAGGGGATTGAGGTTACAGGAAGAGGACTGTTAAAAAGTGTGGGCAGCTGTTGGCTGTGGTGGTTTTATTCAAGCCGCAGACGTTTTCTGCACTGTCACGTGAGGGTGGTTGTTGTTGTGCACCTATGTGATAATGGTGGTTTCCAGGACTGTGGGAGGAAAGAGCTCGGCGCGCCCCCCACTAAAGCGCTTTGTTAGCTCTGCGGCCTGGGTTGACACTGAAGAGTCTTCTCTCATGATGAAGGGGTAAGAAATGCTCAGGAGGAGAAGGAGGAGGACGCCACGCTGGCTGCGTCGCACAGTCACAGCGGACACAGATGCATAAAGACGGCAGCGTTATGGGGTCACGTCATGATGTACTAATGATGGTGGAGAATACTGGGTCCATGGCAGTCGATGTTATAGGGAATCATTTTTTCATCAAAGTTAAAAATACAAACTTTTCAAACCAACTTCCACCTTTTCTAAAGAAAGATGGCCTCTCTCTAAAGAAAAAAATCAACTTGAAGACCCAAACTACAAAATTAGGTCACTGTGTGAATATTAGCTGTAAATAATGTCGGAACAAACACAAAACTGCAGTGTTGTCCTTTGAATCATAGAAAAAGCGGTGATGACATCAAACCACAGGGCAGCCGTCTTCATTGCATCTGGTTCATCTTTGCATGGCGAAGTGTTCGTCAAAAGCTTACATCCGGTTTTTACATTTCCATATGTAATGGCACTATATGCTTTCAAATGTTTGGACTGTGAAAGTAGATTTTGTCCTGTTTGATGAGCTAAGCTACATGTGAAGCTTACATTATATGAATCAACCACTTCTCAAGTTCCCCAAATATCTGACAGGTCATGAACTTGCTTGTGGGTTCATGATATAATATTGGAGCATGTAATTAGCACTGCGGGGCATGTGTTGTGTATGTTGCATGAATTAATTTCAAAGATTATTTTATCAGGAGCTTTAAAAAACGTTGTGTACAGCAGGTGCATTTAAAGCAACACTATGCGACTAACATTAGTTTGATGGTACACTGACCAGGATTTGTCCAAGATGGACGACATCACAGCTCACCAATAGTTAAGCCAGAGCATCTTGATCGCCTCCTGGTGGCTTGCTGCAGTAAAGGTCATAAACCCTGTCTCCTCTACGTTGGTGGATGGGACATGGACTAAACTAAAAAGTACACATCAAGTGAATCTTTCTCAAAGATGGATTCTGTCACGTTTGATAGTTCCTATCATACTTGTATATGTCCAAGTGTAAGGTTTATGATAAGTTTGGTTTTAATTAGTTATTTGTTGCTTTATAAATGGGGTGAAACACTATGATTGACAGCTGAAACTCACGATTTGTCAAGCGCTTGTTGCGAAGGAATCTTCATATAAGACAAATTCTAAACAGAGTTTGGTGGATTTGTCACAGCAGCAGCTTTTCTGATTCAGGAGGCTGGGTATCATGGGTAATATCCATGATTCAGTTGTGTCTCAGACCAGTGAATGGGACAGTCAGAGCCCCACTCAACACATTTATAGGCTTTCTTGTTAGTCACCTCATGAGGCTGCAGAGGGCGCTGTTGCTCAGTAAAAGTGACATCGTGTTGCTTTAAATCGGCTGAAATGTCAGTGTCTGCGTCTTGTTTTGTTTGTGTTGGCTGCATACTTATGGAATGTGCACATACACACATTTGGTTATGTATCCATGCTTGTACAACTGTAACAGTGTGTTTGTGTGAACGCCTGACCCACGCGTGCCCACAGGATGGCCTGCGACAACACCGACTGGCAGTCGGAGGACGAGCAGCAGCAGGAGGAGCCTGTGGCAGAGAGGAGGAGGTCCAGCCTCAGTGAGCTGGGCAACATAATCACCTCCTTCATTCTGCCCCTCAAGACGTTAGTCCAACCAAAATAGCCACCACTAGCTTACTGCAGCACCACTTCCTGCCAGCAAAGATAAGAGGCCTGGTGCCCAGTGGAAGAGGTCATCATTTAGCTTTGAGGTTCCAGTAGCTGCACACTGACATTGTCATTTTTGGCATTATATATGTTTTATTTGAACCCTGTCCTTGGTGTTGGACTCAAATCAGTTATTGTAGCTATCACTGCTCCTGCCAACCACTCAATCAAACCTTACACTGATGTGTTTGTATCATACCCTGTAGTTCTAAGTGTGCTGAGCATGTGGAACCTCCTAAGTGATGACAGTATTTCATTACACGGGTCTGTGCTGGACTGGCTTCTCCTTTGCTCCAGGGCCTCGGCGGCTTTTAATCATGTTTACAGAGCCTTTTCACTGTGAGGTTCAGAAATCAATCCTTTCCTTCAGCTGCTAACTGACTCTGGATCAGCAAAAATTATATTGGAAGCTTTGTGATTTCATGCATGGGTCTCATTTTCTGACTTGCACGGTGCAAAGCATCGGTTTTTACTAGGCTTTGTCTTCTGTCATTTACTAACATGTTCGTGCACTTAAATTTGAAATGCTGCACTATTGTTTTTATGTATTTGGGGGCAACTGAGCATTTTGTGCAAGCGGATCCTGTTTCAATCTGAGCTCTCCTTTCCTTCTCTTTCTCCCTCAACGTTGCTCAGGAGTCAGGATGAGCTGTTTGTCATGCTGTAAGTGTGTGGGACAGAGAACTTGAGTGCTTGTGAATTGTGTCTTTAAAAAGAGAAAACAATAAATGCATGCAAAAGGCCTGTTATCAGGTAGGAGTGTCAGTCAAAGGCCACTCGCAGCCTCGCACTGACTCTCATCATGACTGTGAAGTGTTTTGAAGCAACACTCCTACTGTTGACATATTCCTGGCCAAAAATCATCTGCTGCTTTCTTCCTAACCAGTCATTGCTCACCTCCACCTCCCTGCCATTACCTGCGCTCCTGTCAGCTTTTTTCTTTATGCTGATAAAGATGATAGGAATGGTTTTGCGTATTTAACAATTTGAAATGGGTGATGAGGTTCACTGCATCGAAGGCAACCCTAGATTGCACCGAGCAGCAGCTAATTCACTCGCTGACTTTAATTGCTTAAGTTACCATGACTGACTCACAGGTTTTATCGGAAATAGTTCGTCAAAACAGTGACTGACTCTTATCCCTGTTAGTCATTTTTGGCAACTAATTCACTCTCTTGCTTTATCTGATACCATTTCTTTCCAATCAATCTCTCATGTCTCATTGTCTGTCCATCCTGCAGCGACATCTAATTCTCTTTCCTTGCGCTTTTCCAGTCAGAGCGCTTCCTCCAGCCCAACGTCAACAGACCCAGGAGTGAGCCAGTCCCTGTCCCACAGCCTGACCTCTTCCCGGGAAGCCGCAGCAGCAGTAGCCAGAGGTGGCAGGGGCCTCTGGCTTTGGTTGGCCTTATTGGTGGTTCTGGCAGGTATACACACAATTTGTATCTTTGATATGTGTAATTCCAAACTTTCCATAAAGAGTCTACTCATTTGCCTCAATTATACATACAGCTTGCATGCGTATTGTTTAAAACAAACACAAATCATTGCATAGATGTTTTCTTAAGTCAACATCTACTCTGTGGTTCGTCCTCCCTTGCAGGTCTCTTGGCACTGCTGGCCAGTCTGGTGATGCAGCCAGTGGTAGATGCTGCCCCCGTGGGGACCGGAGACTCCTGGATGACCATCCAGCAGCTGCTGTGGCCCTACACAGGGCTCCGGCACAACGGGCAGCCCCCCGTCTAGCCCCTGAGACCCAGCAAGGATGGTGCTACATCGCCCATTAGCCTTCAGCAGAGATTTGTCTGTGTACTGGTGGGTGGTGATGAAGAAAGGACAGTGCACCACTCCTGAGCGGAGGCCGTTTGGATGTTTATCTGTGCCTGACGATTTGTAAAACAAGACTCTTTTTATTTGACAGCACTGGCTAGTCCTCAGGGGAAAGTTAACCCATGGAGGATTTTATACGTCACATCACGTTTGCTAAACTAGTTAGTCTGTGCGTGTGAATGCGTGTGTCTGGGTTTTAAGGGAGGGAGCAGATACACATGGTGTCTTTAACTAAAGGGTGGTTTAAAGTCATAAACACATCATGATGCAGTTTTACTGTGAGGGCTTCTGGCAACTGTGGACCCAACACTTTAATCAAATCAGCCTTGATCCGTCATTAGAGCTGACGCAACACTGACCAATCATGTCACAGCTTAATTTAGAATGATAGCACTGATGCATTAAGTCATGCATAGGGCCGCAGTGCAATTTTCCATTGACAAGCATCATGGATGATGGCTCAGATTGTGCCAGGTGGCTTCTTTTGAAAACACATTTCATGCACTTGACAACACATAGGACTGCCAGCCTTTTTAAATTAACAATGTTTCATTCCTGTCATTTGTTTTCTTTTAAGTCTACAAACACTGGTAATAAAACTTTTAAGTGTTTTTTAAGTGTATTTGAAATCTATATTTATGAGTTTGTTAGTTCTGAGTGGGGAAATGTGAATATCTGTTTTATTTTTGTTAAATTATGAATCTGCATTGTCTTTAACACCAAAGTTTTTGTTTTTTTTATTTCCTCTACATTCTTGCTGTGGTGGTCACTGTTTTCAACTTCATACACTTTTGTATGTTCCAAAGAAGATGCGTGAAACTTTGCACAAATAAAGTCGCCAATTCTACAACTACTTTTATTCGTGGAGTTTGCATGTTCTCCCCCCTTCCTCCTCGGTTAATTGTAAACTCTGACTTGAGGTGGGAGTGTGAAAGTGAATGTTTGTCTCTGTATGTTGACCCTGTGACCCTTGGAGGATAAGCGGTATAGATAATGGATGGATGGAATTCTACAATAGAAATCGGCTTCATGTGTCAAAATGTGTGTAATCATTTAAAACTGAGTTAATCTGACACAGGTTTAAGAATACATCAAGGGTCTGGTGGCACACAGGAGATTCTGCACCGTATCGATGAACATATAACTGGACTCTCTGGTCCTGGCGATGCCGTCGGTGCTCATGTCGTCCTGGAGCATGTGGATGAAGGTGGAGTGAAAGTCACAGTGGGGATCGTGGTCCGGAGAGAAAGCTTCGCTCTGCTCTGCAATTTTCAGCTTCTGACTCCTCTGAGCGCCCAGCAGGTAGAAACGCCATGAGTCCTTGGGCACAGGGGCGGTGCCACGGTGCTCGCAAGCCTGTCAGAGAAGAAGGAAAGGGAAGAAAGAGCAGGAATTGAAAGAATGGCTGTTTGGTGTTACCATTTCAGGTCTATCCACTTAAACGTGGCCAAGAACCTCAGTGTCCTCTCATGAGAAATGTGCCCTTTTTCCTTTGCGTGGCACTTCCTCATTCTGAAGAGATTATATATCTCTTCCATACTTGTATGTGTGTAAAGGTCAAATCTGTCTGTGTTGAGGGCACCCTGGTGGCACAGTAAACTCTTAGCTGCAGTCCTTGTCGCTGCATTAACAACACCTCATTATTCCTCTCGGTGTTTGGAACGGACCTGAGCATGTGACTCCGTGCGTACATGGGGAATGAGGCGTTCCGCAGGGGGAGGAAAAGTGGGTTCAAATGTGAAACTAAATGAGCTGTATCTATGTGTGAGCAGGAATACCTGCATGACCAGATGCTCGGCTCCACATTTGGCGTTCCACTTGCTCCATGAGAAGGCGCAGGCAGGGGCGAGGAGGGCCATCTGCTCGTAGGCAGCATGTTCAGTGAGTGGGTCCTGAAGAGGAGAGAGAATTTTATAATCATGGAAAGTGTTGGGCTGTAATCTTCACACATCTCAACATTTGTGTAGGACAAATGATTTGTATCAACTAATTGATTAAAGATGGGTAGGTTGAATACAAGTCAGTAATGTTTGAATGGCGTGGCTTGGTAGCATTAGGTCTGCTGCTTTTGTTTTAAAGTTATAGTTATATCATGTTTGCATATCAGAGCATTTTATATGTCAGTTGGATTGACTGCTATGACATTTTCAATGGATTCTCACTTCCCACTCAGCATGAATTATTATATGTCCTTTGTCAATCTATCTGTGCTCTCGTTCAGGTTCCTTTATTCTGCCAACAGGAAGAAGATGCAAACCTTGCCACAGCTGCTGACGTATTTGTCGGTGTGTTCATTCACGAAGATGTTGATCCCTGCGTTGAGCATGGCTCTCTGCAGGGCGGGGCTACTCATCCACTTTCCTTGGAGGTGAGAGAGGCCTTTGACCTCTGACTGCAACATACACTGGTCCCCCTGTCATGGGAATCAACACAAATTGTATTATTACATTAGAAGAAATGTTCATGTGCATACAGAGCTTTCCTGTCTCCTACCTGGATGGTGATGCTTATATCGATGACTGCTCCGTTGACAGTGAAAACAGCAGTGTCTTCTCCCAGTGGCCTGAGTTCCCAGCTCTGGAAGGGGAGGTTGATGTAGGTTTCCTGCATCAGCACAAATGCTTGGAAGGAGTCCATTTTGAAGGAGATCTTCGCCTCCTCCTCCTCGTAAGACACATCAGAGATACCGTCCATCCTCCACTGCTTACCTGGGTGAGAGAATGACTTTCAAATGATATTCAAACACCTGATGGGTTGCAAGGATTGCACAGTGTGTGCTCCTGTCTGTCTCACCTGAAGCGTGCCAGCGAGCCACTTGCGGAGTTTCCAAGAATGCAACGCAGTCTGGCACCTTCACAGACACTTCCACAGGGGGGCAGGCCAGGGCCTCGTTGTCATCCAAGATGGACATCTCTGTTTGGTACGGAAACACTTGCAGCCCTGTGTGCAGCTCCTGTGGAGGATGTGGAATGAGAGAAATAGAAACCTGGGGGTCAATAGCAGAGTCTGGTGAAAGCAAACACTGAAACTCTTTTCTATTCTATTCACCTCTCTAATTTTCCATCCATTGGCATGATAGGCTTGTTGTGGGATGCAGAACACATCATAGTAGAAGACCCCACCCAGAGGCGTGTACTCCATCAAGTCCACCACTTGGACACGTGCGCTGCTGTCCATCAGAGTGGGCTGCACAGAGGGAGAGCTAAATTCTCCCTCAGCTGAGAGTTCGAAAACAGAATCAGGCAAAAAACATAGAAATTTCAGTATAAACAACCATCATCCACATTAAAAGACATTGGTATCTTAGATTTTTATTGTTAAACAGTGTTGGTCCTTGTATATCGTAAACCCTGTCCATCAGTTTGAAATCCAGTGTTTACATGTGGGGTGTAGTGTTAGATTGACTTACCACAGAGCACCTCCATCTGTGTCTCTGTCTGACTCCCCCGGCCTTCTGCTGACTGGCAACTGTTTTTCCTCGACTGCTGACTCGCTGCACCCTGAGAGATACAAGCACAATACGAATTAAAACATCACATTAGATGTAGAAAAACATCCCTTTCATTCTTCTTTTGTTTTACCTTCTTCCTTTCTAACTCTTCGATGGACTGCTCCTCCTCATCTGCTGTTTGCTGTTGTGTCTTGCTGTCATCCTTCGCCTCCCCGTCACCTTTTGTCTCCACCTGCTCAGGTAGATTGGTGTCTGCTGGGGCCTCGTCAACCCCTACAAGAGATCTGGGACCAAACAAAGAAAGAAAAGAAACGAACAAAGAAAGTTTAATTATTATTATTACAGTATGAGAAACCCTGGTAGTAATAGTATTTGCAGTAATATCAGACCTGTGGCTTGGTGTGTGTATTTTCAGGTGAGCCATCCTTGCAATAAAGGACAGGTGGTCGTAGTGTGTGTGGAGAATCCGCACAGCGATATCGCTCAGAGTCAACTGTTTGGGAAGCTTAAAGCCGAGGCCGACCTCTTCAAAGTTGAATCCTTTAAACCTGCATGAACCACATTGACATTTCAGCTGCAAACCTGAATGATACGTAATCCATATATTTTTAGTATTTTCTGCCACACACACCTCTGATTTCTCTTGAGGTTGGCCCACACACACAGCGTAGTGTTGTCACCTTTCACCACAGTCTGCATATTGCCTGTTTCAGTGTCAGCGTTCTCACTGGCCCTCTGTAACCAAGGAGACACGCCGGTTTTGCAATATTGCTTCATATCAGGCAAACCATACACATTACAGTAAATCCCTGATGTTTATATATCTCTTCCTCACACTGTGGTTACAAAGTGCTCCACAATGTGTGAGCACCTGTGCTTTTATAATTCTCCTACCTTGAGGATGTCCTCAGTGGTGAGGAGAAGTTTGGAGTGGATTAACTCCTGGAGACTGATGATAGCCCCCTGGTATCTCTGACTCTTTTGTGGATCTGTAGCGTCTCTGAGGAGACCCTCCAGCTCCTCGAGCTGCTGCGAGGGACAAAATGTATGCTCTCAGATTTTGTAACCATAGATTGCAGCATACTGTATATTTAATTTCTAGCACTTGGCTTCAGACCCTACTCTCTCTCTCTCTCTCTATATATATATATATATAGAGAGAGAGAGAGTAGGAGCCTATATTCTTATAGTCTATGTATGCATATGTAAGTATTCTTCTATTTCAATACCTCCTTTATTATATCTTATATTTTCACATATTCTCTTGTTATTCTGACTATTTGCTGCTGTAAAATATGAATTCCGTGTGGGTCATCAATAATGTTTGGGATTATGTTATTGGCATTGCTGCACGATTTGTACTTGTTTTCACTGAACGGTACAATGAGTCCATATGTGTCAACCTTTCTATTTCTGTCAATTAATTAATAAAGTAAAATACGACCAATGCACATTTATAAAGAAAATACAAACCTGTAGAGCGAGGTTACATTGCTTGAGCACAGGCGTGATGTTGACCTCTGGGTCATCTCTCCATAAGTCTATATAGGTGTTAATATCATGCTGCACTGCTGGGTCAGGGGCATCATCACAGCGCATGCACCGCTTCCACTGGGCACAAAGAAATACACTGCATGTTATTATCAGTCTGAGGTAATCTGTTGAGATTTTTTTTGTTTGTCTTTGGATCCACATGCTGTTATTTATTTATGGTTCAAAATAAGAATTGTATGATATCATATTGCTTTGTTTGCCATAGATAAACCATACGTGTGTCAGATATGATTTTAAGGCCCCTTCCCACTAAATAACTCACAGACAGAAACACACACCTTGGCTTTCTCTGCAGCATCAGCTTTCCATTTAGTTACTGCAGAATGATTCTGCTCCAGTAGATGGCGCAATTCATCCAGCTCCAACTCTCTGCGCTCTCTGTCCTGTCAACAAAAGACATCCTTGAACACCAGAACAAAACGTTTGTCCATTCCAGCCACAGCGAACATCTACTGTGTGTTTCCTTGTGGATTTGTCTGCTGTCTAGAGTATTTGCAGGGGTTGTCTTAACGTGCATCACAGTAGCTGAACACGACTGACTTGCCTTTAATTCTAGTCTTTCCAGCTCCTCTTCCTTTCTCTCTCGCTCCAACCTTTCCTGTTCCTCTCTCTCTGCCTGCAGCTGGGCTTCTTCTGCAAAGCAAAATCACATATGATGGTGACTCAACACATATCCTAAACTTTTAATTTTTAATTGTATATATTCTATTTTTACTTCTTTTTTTTCCCTTGTGTAATTTCTAAGCATGGCTAAAGGGGAGCCTGGGACTCAAGCATTTCATTGCCAGCAACTGCTAAATGTAATT